AAGAAAATAACAAACACCACTCCAGTATCTTTGCCAAGGAAACACCAAATGGGGTCACAGAGAGCTGGACATGACTGAAACTACTGAACGATACATACCCTCCAACCTGGATTATTATAAAAATCTCCTAAATGGTATCCTTGCTTTCATACTATCCCACCAAAAAAAAACAAAACAAAAAATCAAACCTTCTTTCCCTCACAAGTGATTTCAGATAAGGAACAAGATTAATTAAATTCATTTGTAAAATATAAGATGATCTCTAATGGTGCATTGAGCTCTAGGATTCTCTCAACTAGCAGCAAGGCAATGACAAGGGACTAGTTTGAGGACTAGCCTAAATTTGACTGGAGGGGTTCATCACTGCTAAGTTGGCTGAATGTTGAATATTTTTGTCTACAGCAGCTCCATAAAACCACTTACTAAGATGGCAATGTGGAACTATTACCCCCCCCCCGTTGCTAAACTTTGCATACCCTTCGACTGAGTCATACCATTAATAAACCTATATCCTAAAAAAAAAAATTAAAAGAGGAAAAGGACCTATGTGCACAAAAATATTTATAGCAGTTCTTTTCATGGTAGCCAAAAATTTGAAAGGAAGGGAGTATCTTCCTTTTAGGGAATAGCTAAACAAATTGTGGTAGATGAATATGATGCCACAAGAAATGAAAGAGTGGTTTCAGAAGAAACTGCAAAGATCTTTATAAAATGAATACAGATGAAACACAGTGCTCACCACCTGAGAAAGGTGATAAACTAATATGCAGAAAGAGATATATGTTTTCGGACATAGCCAATGTGGGAATGTGTTTTGCCATGCTTAGGTTTTGAAGGCTTCATTTTTTTCTTTAACAGATTTGCTCAAGAGGTGGAAGAGGAAGGAAGGTACAGGTTAATTACAATTTTTTTTAAATGTCTCTCAGATTCATTACTTCTATTGCTTTCCCTCTCAAGCCAGTCTACACTGTACCACTTCAAATCTGTATTATTGCATGAGTCTCCTACTATGTCAACCAATAGTCCAAAGTTTTCTGAGAAGTCTGGCTATCATTAGGAAAAGTTCTCTAAAAGCCTTGAACTTGAAGCAAGCAACACATATACAAACTAAAGCATCTATCTTTGTGGTAAACATCACTAAGATAGTGGCTCTTTTTTTCCACCTCAACTGATGCTGATAATTACAGGATCTGAACAATTACCTATTTTATTGTACCTATCAAGGAATTTTATGTGAGTCTGGGAGTTCTCCACATAGAGGTCACAGTTAAACTCATGGGCTTGCATGAAGTTATCAAGTGAGATAGTATAAAAGTGAGAAGAAAAGAGGGCCTAATTCAGAGCCTCGGGGAATACCCAGTTAGGAGAAGTGATGCATAGGATGATCCAGCAAAGTTATAATGCAAATCAGTAAAGTAGTGTCATGAAAGCCTAGGGTTATATACAGTACTATACATGCTACTATAAACTATATTTCCAAAATACAGAAGCAATCATATTGTGGCATATGAATTTGATGATTATTACACACTGTAGGGAAACAATGTGACCAATGATTGAAAGACTAAATATAATTATGGTATATGAATATAACAGAATACTACTTTGCTTGAAAGACAAATGTGAAGATTAAAAAGCCAAATTAAGAGAATAAGTACAGTGACTATGTCAATGAAGGCAACATCAAACAAAAACTCATGGGTAATAAAACTGATGCTTGTAATGCAACTTGAGCTACCTTACTGACGAAAAATTGTTCACACGGGGGCATTCTTGGTAATAGCAAAATACTGGAAATTATGCGTCCAATAATTAAAGAGTGATTAACTTGTGGCATGTGAATTTAATGATTATTTACACTGTAGGTAATGATAAATATAGAAGACATACGATGTGATACAGAATAAAAAAGAAGCAGAACCAAAAGAACAAGATACACTTTGGTCATTTTCACTTGCTGTCCCCCAAGCCTGGATTCTCTCCCATCTTCTCTGCCCTCTGGCTTACTTTAGATCTCAGCTAAAATCCCACCTTCTAAGAAAAAACCTTTCCTGTTCCCCTTAATGCAAGTCCTTTCCCTCTTCAGAAGACCTCCAAATTATCCTGTATGTGCATTGTGCTGTATATACTTGTTTATATGCTGCCTACCCCATTAGACTTTTGCTTATCTTCAGCACTTGTGCTGCGTTTGCCACAGAGTAGGCACTTAATACATGCTTATTGACTGACTCAACCCATATATCCAATCAGTTGTTAAATCTTTGTCATTTCTATCACCACAACTCTCATATGTAACCCCTTCTTTCCATAGCCACTACCTTAGTTCAGGCTGTCATTACCTCATGCCTGTTAATAGCCTTCTAATTGCTCTCTCTACCTCGAGTCTTTTCCCTACCCCAATCCATCCTCTCTCCTTTCAGCTGCCAAAGTAATATTAATTAACGCACAGGTCTGGCAATAACGTCAATAAACTCCACTGGTTTTCTATTACTTCAAAATATAAATGCCTATTTGGTATTTAAAGTTTTTCCACACTCTGGCTCCTTCTTATATCTGTCCAGTCTTCTTACATATTATTCCCTTCCACTCACTCTAAAAAGTCCAGTTGATGGTGGATGGGACCGGGACCCCTAAAAGGAAAAAAACCCTTGAAATTTGTGGGAATGTTCAGGGGCTTTTCCTTTTAGAGGTCCAGGTCCCATGCCTATCACAGCCACACTGGCTTATTTGCTGTTCCTCATATACACAATCCATCTCCCATTCCTATACTTTTCAATGGCTGTTCCTCATGCCTGCCTCTTAGAAACCTTGGCTTCAAGTCTCAGTTCAAATGCCACCACCTGCATTAAACTGTCCAGTCTACCTAGTTGCCTTCTCCTCTTAAATTATCTTACATGTGTCATATATGTGGCTATGTACATACAAGCTGCCTCCCCCATCAGACTACAAGCTCCTAGAAAAAGTGTGTACAACAAGTATGTCTGTATACCTAACGACAAGTTTGAATCTCAACTGAAAAATGTTGTATAAAGTTTCATTAAAGACTTTTCTAAGGATTAAACGAACTAGAAGAGATTGAAGGAGCCTAGCACCTTCATTTCACATGTAGGCAAACTGAGCTCTAGAGAGGGGAAGTGACTTGCCTATGGTGACAGAGTGGAAAGGAATCCAAATCCAGATCCCCCAGCTCCAAACCCAGCATTGAACATTAATTTATCTCTTCCTGAGTATTTTTTAAAACAAAAAAAGACCACTGCCGCAGATATAAGGAACCTTCTTGTCTAAGTTATTTCCTCAAGGAAGACGATGACTGCTGAAGTTGGGCTGAAGTGGCCAAGACGCAACTCAAGACTGCGTTATTCATCATGCTATCTGACCAGAGAAATTTAATTTATGGTCAATCCCTGAAAACCCTTCCCCATCATTTAAACTAGTCGTCTAGGCAAAAAATAAACCAAAAATAAACCAACCCCCCCAAACCTTAGAGCAAAGCAACATTTAAAAACCAAACAACCCCCCAAACCCCAGAATGTTTAGTTTTGCAAAGAAAAGCCCTTGCCTGAGGGATCGGAGGAGAGGACCTCGGCTGGACAGACTTAAGCCGCGTCCCCAGGTGGGTTTCTCCGGGATCACTCACATCACCGGGCTAGCCCGAGGCTGGGCACCGACTGGGGGTGAAGCACTAGCGGGGCCGGGCGTGGGGAGGGCGGTTACGCAGCCAGAGCCAGCCCGGAGCGGACCCCGGCCGCCTCGGGGCTTCCCCAAGGACCGCGCCTCAGGCGGGACGCCCCCCCCCCTCCACGGCCACTCTTCCTCCGCCACCCCAAAAGTCTCTCTCTTCAGAGAAAACAGGCGCCCCCGGCTCCGAGGGTCTCCAGGAACGCGCCCGACGCAACCACCAGGACCCCGGCACCAGGGCCCGGCTGGACCCTTCCCTCTCTCGGTGGTGTCGGCGCGCCCCGAGCCCACACCCGAGGCCCGCTCTTTTTACCAAGTGAGCCGCGCCGATCGGGCCGAGCCCGCGTCGTCCCCGTTAACTGTTATCAGGGCTCTGCCGTTGCTGAACCGGGGAGGCGCCCTCACTCCCGCCCCTAACACCCGGGCACGCGAGGCGCCGGGTCCCGCGCGACGCTCTCTGCGACCCGCACTCACCCACCACCAGACGAAGTCTTACTTAGCGACGTCTCTCATCGCTGACGGCGGCCATTTTGGACGCGGGGTGGTGGGGAAGCAGACGTCATTACGCGGCGTCCTCTTTTAGGAAACCGTGAAGAGCGGAGGAGGCAGAGGAAGAGGAGGTGGAAAGTCCTGGGATGGAGGGGCAGGGCGAAGAACACACCTTTTACCCAATCAGAGGGGAGAAGAAGGCTTAAAAAGGAAAGAGCCGAGGCTTGGGGCGGGGCGATGTTAAGTAGGTTTGGCAGTGCTAGAGGAGGAGGAGTAAAAAAGCTTAACGGTCCCGCCCCCCTCTTGGAAAATGCGATTTCGCGACCAACCTAGCCTGCTAACGGAACCCCGAGCGTCAGGGGCGTGACCAGGCGCGGCAGTTCACCAATTAAATGGCCGAAGGGGCCAGTGCAAGGGTCTCCTTCCTCCAATCGCTCTTACGGAGTCGGCGAGGGCTTAGTGGGCTCTTCAGGCCTCCGGGAGCCTACCGGCTCAAAGAGCTGGGGAGAGAACGGTTGGAGTGACAGCTGGATGGCGTGGGGAAATAGGGAGGTGCAACCGACCAATGAGCTGCAGCCGGGGCCGCTCCCGCGCCTCGCGGGAGGGGAGAGCTTCGTCGACCAATGAGCGGCGGGGGTGGTGCTCAGGAGGTGGGGCTCCCGGGTGGCTGGAGGAGCGGGGTTGGGTGTGTGGCTGCGGCGCTCTCACGGCTGCCTCCGCCCCCGGCCTCCCCCGCCTCCCCGGCCGCCGCCGCCGCCGCCGCCGCCGCCGCGTCCGCGGGGTTGGTTGAGGCGGACTGTGGGGTGCTGACTGAAGTGGAGGCGCCGCTGCCGCCGCCGCCGCCGCCGCCGCTGCCGCCTCTGCCGCCGCTACCGCTGCCGCCGCCGCGGGAAGGAGAGAAGACGAAAAGTGAGTGGTGGGGTGGCAGCGCCTGGTCGCCGCCCCCGCCCCACGAGTCGAGGAGGGAACCCCGCTCCCCGCTCGGCCCCCGGAGCCGGGATCGGTCATCCCGCGCCACCCTGCCCTCCGGCCCTGCGCTTCCCACTGCCTCCCCTGGCCTGTTTTCTCGGGCTGAGCGTGGAGGGCGCTGCCCCCGGGGACGGGTGCCCGCGTCCCCTGCCCTCAGAGACAGGCGGTGGAGGGGGGGGCGGGGAATGGCCGCTCGGCTCCCGCGGCTCGGACTGCTCCTGGGGAGGGGGATCGAGGGGAAAACGAAGAAAGCCTCGTTCTCCGTCCTTGCGCTTTCTTCTCTGTGGCGCTGTGGCTGGCCCCACACCTCTGTGTCACCATGTGTCTGTCCCCACGTCACGGCGTGTGCTGGTCTCTTTCTCCGTCACCTTGTCGGGCTATTTTCTCTCCCCCTTCGGCTTCCCCCAGTGACGGCCCCCTCAAATTACCCAATTTGTGCACCCCCACCCCTCGTCACGGAGTCGGCCTGTCTCCCCCACACCTCCACCCCCGTCACGGTGTCTGCCCCCCCATGTGTCTGTCTCCACCCCTCCTCACCACGTTTGTCTGTCTCTCCCTCTTACCTTCCAGTCTCTGTCTTCTCTTCCCCCCCCCCCCATGTGTCTAGCTCCTTCAACCTGTGGATCTCTATCCCCCTTCACCCTGTAGGGATATACTCCCCCCCATCCATCCTGTGGGCCTATTTCCTGTCTGTGTCATTGTGTGTTCTGTCACTGTCTGTGTCTTGTGCCCCTTCCTTTTAGGTCACTGCTTGTGTCACTGCGTGTGTGTCTCGGTTTTTCCTTCCCGATTTTTCCCTAGATCCCTATGTATGTGCCTGTCCCCCCACCCCTGGGACCCTCTTGTGTCAAAATCCCTCATTTCAGGTGGAGCCAACTTATTTTCTTTTTTCTCCTACTGGTCTTCCTTGTGCTACTCCTGGGAGTAAAATCTAAGGCCTAACACTAGATTTCATACTCCATCCTCACCACTCTCCCCCCGCCCCAACTGTTCCTCATTGTGTTTCAGTGGAAGTAGCACTGTTTCCTTCCTTTCTCTCAATACCAACTCTTTAGTAGGAAAGGAAAGAAATAGCATTTTCTCATCTACTAGTTCCTACTACTTTAAACAAGATTCTTAGAGGAATATTCTCCTTCCCCCTCCCCCCAAGTCTTTTCGGCTAAAGAAAAGTGGTAGAAAATATGTCCTATTTGTTCTTAGATACAAGTCCTCTAATTCCATACACATGTGCTTACTGGGGAGGAAAATAATTTACTTGATTGTAGTCAGAGTTTACCTTTAACTTAGCTGTGTGACCCTGGGCATAGACTTCTGTCTTTCCTCTATAAAATGAGGGGGATCTGGACTATGACCTCCAAGATCCCTTACTGCTCTAAAACTATGATTCTGTTTCCTACTCTCTTTACTTACTGCTTGACTCAGTACTGTTTGTTTCCTCAAATTTAGCACTTAGTGGAAAGGAGTAGTCAATGATTTGTGAATTTTATTTCCTCCCCTCCCCCATAGTAAGATATGTGAATATTTTCCTGTTTTATAATTATATTTCCTCAAAAAATTCTGAGCATGATCTAGAAACTCAATGCAAAATGAGTGATTTTAGTGGAAGAACTTCACTGTCATCCCTCCTACTAATTAGTGATTGTTTATTTAAAAAAAACACATTTTTTAATTCCCTTTGTGTTCTTTCTAAAGTCCTCCTGTAAGGGTTTATTTTTCAAAAGAGGAATCTATACCCATATTTTCCCAAAACTTTTGATCAGAAATGACAATTTTAGCATTTGAGAAGCAAAGTGAGTCAGTTATCAGCAATTTACCATTAGTATTTCCTACATCTCGTTGATGTAGATACTCCCTCCAGTGGTAAAGGTTGCAATTCATCCACACCTCATTCTGTGTGACTTTTGTCTGTGTGTTCCTGTATATGCTCCATGAGAGGGTCCACTAGCTTACAGGGGCCTTCTCTAGGTACTTTGACAATATATGAGTACCAATAACAGCTGCCCACCTGTTATCCCTCACTATCAATATATGATTGACCCACCTCTTTTTCTAATTGTACCTCAGTTGATATCTTTTATGCTGCTTCTTATATGTAAATCTTCATTAGAAATATGCTGCAGCTTATTGATGCCCACCATGCTTTGTGTTGACCTTTGGTGTGCTCTCAAGAGATTGTGGTGTTCCTTGATTCATATCCATAAAGTTTTATCAAAAGACTACTGGTGTGTAAAAAAGTTGAGTTTTTGTTTTATTAAGAAAATTAAAGTTGTTAAAAAGCACCTTAATGTTTTCCATATTCCATTCAACCCACTTTTTTGCTTTAGTTGTAGCTGTATGTGTACACAGGTAATGGGTAAGTACTCCAAATTAGTACTAAATAGCCTGGTGAGGTACTCCATTTTTCTGAAGTCTTTTTTCTTTGTAAAGAAGATTCAGTTAGAACAGTGGTTTTTAAAGTACATTTTTTCAGGGAACTATTTGGTTTATATAATTCATTGACACAAACTTTTCAGTGTTACTCTAGTGCTCTCCCTTTCCCCTTATTTTTTTTTTGTCTGCCCCATTCCATTCTCTAATCCCACTTTAATATTGTAAAATCAGTTCTTTACCGAAATGATAATCTAAACTGGAAAAAGAAAGTTATCTACTATACTTTTCATTTCTCAGAAATCCTTTTATGCTTATCTTTTATTGGTGGAATAGTAATTTGTGATGGGGGGATGTATGTGATATGAATAGTTTGCTAACTTCAGTTAATGAGATGTCAGCATCTATCATTTTTTAGCATTAGGTTTCTCATGCCTTTCTATTGTCAATGACATTTAGACCAGTCTAGAATTACGATGAAACTTATGTTTTAGTGGTAACTGAAAAATGAAGAAAAATATTTGGAGGTGATATATAAGGAGCCTTTTCCTTCCTTATATTTAACCAATGGAATGTAAAAATTCTACTTCTTAACATCCTAGTCTGAGATGTGATGAGTAACTCCATGCCATTATCTTTGAAGCACCTTGTTATTTAATTGGAGGATCATGAAGTTTAACTAAAAGAAACCTTAGTTACATTTAACCAGCTTCTTAACAGCAAATACTACCATACATCTTTGCTAAGTGTGAGTCAGTATATGTGATCTACATCCTATCTCATAGCTTCCTTGAATTACTTTTTATTAGATAGGATCTTCATATGAAAAGTAATGTCATGCCAAGTCAACTACCTTTTATTAGTGCCTTCTATGTGCCAGGCCCTGAGGATACAAAAAAATGATGAAAAGCAATGCTTGCCTTCAAGGAACTCACAGTCTATTTGGGAAGACTGCATACAAACACCTTTGTTCAAAAAAGATATAAAAAGAATGAATTGGAGATAATCTCGGAGGAAAGACTCAAAAATTGTGGAGTACTGGGAAGCATTTCTTGCAGAAGGTAGAATTTTAGTCGAGACTTGAAGGAAACCAGGGAAGACAGGAGATGGAGATGAAGCTGGAGAGAATTCCAGGCATGAGGAATAACCAATGAAAACACTGGGTCTGGAGATGGAGTTTCTTGTGGGAGGAACCAGGAGGCTGTTCTCTGATGTCTAGGTTTTATGAATCTTTCTTTTTTTCCAAGTGTTTGTCTTACCATCTTTTAAAAACTCTTTCAATTTCAGAAACTGACTGGGTGAGCTCTAGCTCTTCTGCAGGTGTCTGTGAGTGGTAGGAGGAAGTTTAAAGTAAAAAGTCCTTTTATGCTGTTAAGCCCAGACCTGTGATTTCACTGGTATAGGAACTCCCTTTGAGAAAATCTCCACCCATGTAGGTCAGCAAGCACTCTGAAATTTATAGTCTTACAGAGCTACCTTGAGGACTGAGTTCCTTCTCAGCTCTAGAACTGTGATCTGATCTGAAGGTAATTGAGAAGTTAAGAGTCAAATAGCCAGTGTGTGTCTGAGGTTGGACCTGAACCTAGGTTTTTCTGACTGAGTCATTCTCTTTACTACCCCCCACCCCCATGCCATACTGTAGCCTATCACTTCAACTTGTATCAACTACTTGAATCCAGGTATATTCAGCCTCATAAAGGATTGTGAATAATTTTGTTAATTTTTGTACAAGCATATCACACTACTTACCTTTTTAAAATTTTTTCCTGGTAATGAAATCTGATGCTTTTCTAGCAAAATAACTACTTTTAATGTGCGTTAAGCTAGGATGACCAGCAAATCTTGCATTTGATTTCTGTGGAGAAACTTTTTCTACTGGTTGGTTATTTTCTTGGGCCAGAGAGTGGTATACAAGAGAGAATCAATATGTAAATCGGTCAGCAAATATTAAACACTTATGTGCTAGTGAACATGAATTTTCATTTTTCATAGATATTCATTACTTGAGAAGAAGTATGGGTGTAGTGGTTAGAGAACTAGTGTCTGAGCCTGGAAGCCCTAAGTTTAAGTTCACCAACTGATGTATACTGCGTGTGTAGCCCTGGGCAAGTCACTTTGATTTCTCTGTTCTCCAGTAGGCAACTCTCCAAGACTTAAGTTGCCAATAAGATGCTATGGTTTCCTCACCTATACCAAATAAAATCACATGTTCATCTCTTATCCCTGTCGCTATTTAATATTTCTCTGTTTCTTTAGCAGAAAAGTTAGCAACAATTTTGTTTCCATAATAAATGGATTTTGAAGACCTGTTAAAAATTTGCCTTCCCTTTGTACTTAGGTCTCACACAGAAGAATAGATGGGTATTTTTTTGGCTCTGCTTTCCTCACATTGTTACCTTCTTGTTTCTAAAATGAGTTTATACTGATTTATACTTAGTTTTGGAGGTACATTTTATTATTTGAGTTCTAGACCAGTGATGCCCAGCTTTTATATTTTTAAAAGTTATACTTAGTTTTGCTTTTTGTCACATTTAGGGATGTAGACTAAGTATATTCAGTTCAAGAAACATTTA